ATTTCTTAGGATCTTCCTTCACAGGACAGTCGTCCTTTGCGTGAGAGGAATCACCACAATTCATGCATTTAGCTGGCATGTAGCAATTTTTAGTTCCGTGACCCCATCCCTGGCACTTACGGCACTGAGTGAGGTTTTGGAAATTTCCTCCAGTCTTCCTGAAGTGTTCGCACTTCACTCGGACATGGAGCATAAGGCTAGCTTTTTCTAAGGCCTTAAGGTTGTTTAGTTCACTAGACTTGAAGTGAACTAAATAAAAATCATTAGAAATCCCGTTGCGCGAATCGCCAGGACGGGATTTCATTTTCATTTTGATTACTTGGAGTGGCACAACTCCAAGTAATTTTGCCAGTTCATCTTTGATCTGATCCAGGGATTCACCACTGGGCAGTCCTTTCATGACAACCTTGAACACACGTTCAGTTTTGGTGTCGTAAGTAAAAAAATTGTGCTTCTTCTCAGTAAGATACTTGAGAAGACATTTAAATCCGTCCAAGGTTTCAGCCAATACACGGCATTCACCCCGACGTCCAATTTGTAGAGAAAACTTAACTTTCACGAAGTTCAAAAGTTCCATGCGAAGAGCATGGAAACGGAAGTGGTTATCACAATAGGGGGAATCTTTTCCTTCTTGGCATTAAGCCGGGAAAGTTTACTAGAATTTTTCTTGGATGATGGATCATTCTCATCATCCGTGAGCAAATCAAATTGATTGCTCAAATTAATTTCTTCAGAAGGGGGGTCAAGAGTTTGCCCCTTTCTTTTGCGTTTAGGCGCCATGGCGGCCGTAAATTTTTATCCAAATCGACTTCCAAGCAGATTACTATAAGAATCTGAAGGATCGAAGAGGAATTTTCCAAATCGATATCCAAGAAGGATTACCTCGGGTAGGGTCCAAACAAGGATCGAATAGGAATAAAGTTGAACAAGGTAGAAATTTTACAGGTTGAGCACTGAAAAGTGCTGTTTAAATTTGTTGTAGCTTTAGGTAGTAGTAACACTTCCTTCAGCAAAAAGCAAATAGATCCGCACGGCAAGAGAGCACGATGCGGACTGATTTGCAGATATGTAATGAAGATGTTTGAACTGTATGAAGATATGCAGAAAAACGATGAAGACATCCGAAAGCTTTTTGAATTTTAAGCAGACATGTGAAAAATTTTACCATTTAAATGAAGATTTTAACTACAAATGAGCTCTCTCTTGAACGTATCTGAACGTATATGAATAATGTTTCATTTGGTTTTGTTTTGTTATAAAACAATACTTGATCGACCTAAAAACATCCGTAGAACTTTATGTTAATCCTTGATAAGCTGGAGATTAGACTGATGCAAAATTTGAAATTTTCGCTCCACAGTGCTCAAACGGTTCCAAATTGGGTCCTGCTTAGCCTCCCAAAATTTGAACTACTGTAGTGAAAAACTGACAAGGCACAAACCATTTCAAGCTTATACGAGAATTACTATGGGAAAACTTTATGTTTTTGTTCATATCTATCTACAAATATCAAAAGTTATTAATGATTCAAGTCACTGATGTCTTATTTTTATGCTCATTCAACTGTTCAGCAGACAACATTAGTGTTTCTGATTAGAAGAATAGAGCACAAATATCATCGCTACTATGTCAAACTGCAGAATACAGTGTTGCTAACAGAACAGCTGCTTGATCATGCCATAAGATTATCAATCTCTTAAACAATTAATAACTTGACATTTGGCTGAAAAACGATATTACGCAAAGTTGTAGCAAAGAAGAATTCCGGTAAGAATAGTTATAGAACTTTTCGAAAAAGCAATATGAAAAATGGGTAGAAGACAATGAACAAAAAGTTTGGTTTTCCCATAGTAATTTCCATATAAACTTCGAATGATTTGTGTCAAGTCAGTTTCTTACCAAATGAGTTTAATTTTTGGGAGGCTAATCAGGACCTGATTTGAAGCCGTTTGAGCACTGTGGAGTGAAAATTTCAAATTTTGCATCAGTCTACTGGAGATCATTGAATACTTAACGTGCCATTCTGAAAGAATATATTCTTTTTTTTTTCCTTTATTTAACGTCGGTCTCTGTTCCGCAATCTAGTGCCAATCACCGACGGACATCCATTGCCATCCATTGATAGCAATCGAATGTGCAGGAAGGCAGCTTCCACACCTGCGTAGGATATCGCACCCATTCACAACACACATGGGCCGGGACCAACGGCTTTACTTCCCTTCCGAAGGAAGACGTGACCAGAGACTTTTATGCCTAAGAAAAATCCCACCAATCTCGGCTGGGATTGAACCCAGACCCATCGGGGTGTTAGAAAGCAGTCACGCTTACCACTACACCACAGGCGCCGGCAAAATAATATATAAGGGACGACTTTTGAATCATTGACGATTTTCACAAGAAGATCAACCTAAAGCCTTTAAAAAAATACTCCTTGATCAACCTGCCATCTCACAAAAATATTAGCGTACGCAATTTGAACTAATGAAAAGTTTAAGAACTTCAGAAGAACTTCATCATGTTTTGAAAAAGGAACCACAGTACTATACTAAAAATTATTATCAGGTGCGGATCTTTCAAAACATTCCCATGATAATATCTGATGAACCAGAAATCTAGCGTACCTTCAGTACTTGATCAACTTGTCAATGAAGTACCTTCAGTACTTGATCAACATGTAATCTTGAAATTAAATCTTCAGAACTTTATATACGTCTTTGAATAGTTGGAGATCTTCCAAATACTTCCTGACCTTTAAAAATATCTGAGAAATTTTAATTTTTTAACAGTTTATGATATTCAGAATAATACTTCGTCAACCTTATCATATACCAAGACTTTGAAAAATTCTAGAGGAACTAGTTGATTTGTTTTTGAAAATCAATGAATTTCAACAAAGTGTTCTAAAATTTCTACGATGTTTCCCGCACGCAAAGTTTTTTGAACCTAAACTTAGTTCCATGAACTCAAATAAAGCTCCCTGAATCCATTGAAGCTCTTTGAACCTGAAGTTTTCTCAATGTGTGGGAAGTTTTGCGAAATCCAGGAAAGTTGCTTCCATTTCTAAGAAGCTTCCTGAACAATTTTTCCATAGCTTACACAAACTGAATGTTTACCAAGATTGCTGAAATTGTAGATATTTCCTATAACTCATCTAATGGTTCCTAATTTCTTCAAAGCTTTCCTTTTTTTCTCTAGTTCTCTTATTTAACCAAGATCCATGACAATTTTCAATCTTCCTGGAAAATAACCCTTCTAATTTTCCTGAATATATGTGTTACACAAAGTTTCCAAAAGCTCCAAATTTAGTTCTTAACAGTTTGCTGATTTTTTACAATTTTCCCTGAGCACTAAGCTTCTGAACTTCTACGAAGATCACTAAGGTTTAACAAAAATGATCGAAGTTATGTGAATTTCCCTGAACTTTTAAAAACTCAACATTATTCGCTTAACTTCTACAAAGATCGCTGAACTACTATAAATTCACTACGTTCTTGATTTTCTATCAGTCCCCTGAAATCCTTCAAAACTGTTAAACTTCTACGGCATCCCTTAAACTAAGACAAGAAGCCCTAAAGTTAAAAGACGGATCAAGTGGTCATAGTGGTTCCTATATAAGTATTATGGCCGTCTACCTGAGACTTTGTCAATATGAGGCAATAGATTGCAAAATTATTTAAAATTATTTAAAAATATTGCCCAATGGAAAATTTCACTCAGGAAATGTAATTTCATCAGCTCAAATGATGTGATTTATTAAAATTAAGCAAATATAATCATTTTCTTAATTTTTTAATTCAACCCACAAAAATTGTCAAGTGGGTGCAGGTTTTGATTGGATCTATATGATGCGTCAAGTAAAGCACACATTTAAAATAAGAAACATGGTAACATTTTATAAGAAACCTATACTTGAATTGGGTGAATTAACGTTTGATTTTATCAAATAAGTTGCTATGGAAAACAAGTGCCAATTAAAAATAATCATTTTATAATTATTCTTCAACTGAATCGACAACGTACTTCACTAATACCAGTTCAAATGAAAATATACATGAAAGATCACCATCGTAGCAATCCACTGGGACTCGTGGAGACTGCACGTCTCTTGCAAAAAGCATCGCCTGCTCGGATCCTGTGTATTGTTGATTCAAATTTTCCCATATATCCCATAGTAACAATCGATCGCGACATCGCGATTAAAAATAATATACACTCATTCTCCTTTTTATCTGACCCATTCTTGATTAAAGGCAAAAGATTCTTTTGTTTTCGGTCTCCTTGCTCATATTCGAGTAATGTTCACCGGCCGACGGTTTTTTCTCCCTTCTCTACAACCTTACATTATTAAGTTTTCTCCATTACAGTTGCCACGTTGCCTTTCTCATATCGCATCGTGGGTCCTCTCACAGCCAACCAAGATATGCAGATTATTATTATTTTTGATCATTATTCCGCGGATCGAACACACGATCCTTTACCTGGGTGGACCGTACGTATTCATGCACGCGTCGTCCTCCAAAGTCGTGCTTAAAATTAACTCTTGTTTCATTCTTTTTTCGCCAGCAATTTACCCCTTCGAATCCTATTTAATATCATGAGCAGGAAGCAAGCAAGATTCGAGATAATCGTGTTTCTTCGTGTACTCTCCCCCTTGAAATCTCTTCAATATCGATCGATTAACGCGCTTATCCTCTCGCTCACGGTTCCCTTAGCTTCATTCAAAATATTGTGGTTCCATTGTCAAAATTCAAATTTTCCCACCATAGTCAACAGACATCGTAGTCACCGATGTTGTTCTTGTTGTTGTTGTCGTCGTCGTCGTCGTCGTCATCGACGTTGTTTCAGTGTTTACTGCGATCGCGCGAACAAAAGATGAAACAACGGCGTATCACATCGCAGCATCCGTGGAGTTGTGAGCACGAAAAGTATCATCACCATCAGCAGGGCCTTGGAATTTGGAGTACACGAGCAAACGAGGTAAAAAAAAAAGTTGGACTTACCGTAAGGTTTATCTCGGATTTCGCTATCGCTGTTATCTGAAATTAAAAGCCACGGAGAGAGAAAGGAAAATTGAGATAATTGCGTTAATCGTGCCCAGTCGAACTATGCTAACAAGGATCATTTTAATATATTTCAATATACGTTTCCCGCTCAACTATGCAGCAATCGCTCCAGCCCGGTCGGCAATCGGCGATCTCAACTTCCGAAACGTTCCCATTCGCCCATTCATAACCGTCTCGAATTGGAGCAATTTTCGAGCAGCAAGATCGTAATGATGAAGGTGATCATGTGGAGAGTTTCTTCTTTTCCTTTTTCACTACTCTCCGAAGAATAATGATTCTTGAAAACCTTCGAAATCAGAATCACAATCTGACAGCAAGGTGTGAATGGAGCAAAGCGTGGACGATGAAGAAATTACTCTCCAACAAAAAGTTGAATGAAATCGGAAGCGAATTTGAATTTGGTCTTTCTTGTGAACTCTCACGGAGCAGCACATTTAATCAGAGCGAGTGGCGTGCGTCATGGGATGCCATGAGTTTTTCGGAGCGTTCCGCGATTGCTTCGGTTTTTGCTCAAGCAGAAGACGATATTCCGAACATTGAACAGACACAATAAAAATTGGCCAAAAATCATAGATTAAGTAAAGCCGTTCTGGACTCATAAGGCTTTACAAATATTACCGAAAAAATCACAAAAACTTCCCACATTCCGTAGGAGAAAAAAAAACTATCCAAATCGTCAATATTTGTATATACGTCCGGTAATGCTCTCCTTCACTCACGAGCCCCCGAAACACGATCGCAAGTATCGTTTTAACCATCCTCCGAGCCAGGAAGTTAAAAATTATCCATAATTACCACCAACAATGGACGTTAACACCGTTTCTCTCAATCATTCCCGACTTCTCGGTACAAAGCCGGGTAGCGCGACTACTCTAGAGAGCGACTAGAAACAGCCAGTAGCAACCAAAGCCCGCTGCATGCTGGATGCTGGAGACGAGATCGAGCCATCATCGCGGGCGAGATCGTTTCCATACCTATATTCAAATAATCGGTCCACGGGAAAAAAATATTATTCATCTGCCGGGCATGGCATGGGCTTATTATTTCATTCCGGGCTCTCGGTTCCGCTTATTAGATCGCGTCTTTTGTCCAAACTCATCAAAGCTGAGCCTTCCAAACGCTCGATGAAGGTGATGGGAAAGGTAATTTTCATCTTCGAGAAGATGATGATGATGATGATGATGATGGCGGTGATCTTGGCCGGGATCAGGTTAATTTCCAAAATTTGAATTTTTAGACGAATTATCATTCCCTGTATCCGAACTCTTCATAGTGAAGCGGATAAAAGGAATTCAACGCTCAAAACGTCCAAATAGTGAAACACATGTCCATCACAGCGAACTCCACATGTGTAACGGAGCAATTACTAATACAATCTCATATTTTAGCCGAAAACAACAATTAGACACCATATAAGCAAGCCAAGCCCGTCGAAACAACAAGTGTAAGAAAAACTTCAAAAATCGCGATATCAATCTGAATTTCCATACACACTAATTAGCGGGCCTCCAATTAGCCGCCACTGACTGGGCCCCGATGTGTGAAGGAGAAAATCTGCTCCCTAGCTGTTTTCCTTCTGTTATTTTCCCACTTTATTTTGGTTTGACATGACAGTTGCTTTTTATGCTGATATTAATCTTAATATTTAATTTCAAGTCCGCGCACTTCAGCCACACATGCGGTTCTTTTCCTCCCACTCTAGCACTCGGAAGGAATCGCAGTAGGCTATTCAAATTTTAACAATTTGATGATTCCCGCGGCACTTGATGGTGTTGTTGTTGTTGTTGTTGATGATGTTTGCCTGTTGTGCCCGGCAGCAGGCTATCGAAAGAGTAATAACTTTAATTTTCCAAAATATGAGCTACACACCTACAACACTCGGCCAACAACTGTCAGGAATCGTAGCAGGCGACGAGCGCAGTCAAGTATGCGGCGCCACACTTGAGTTACCACTCTACCTCTTTGCAGGCTTCTTGCGCAATGTGCAGGCATAAGCTTTCTTGGTCGAAGTTCGTCGACGATGGATCATTTTGATTGTGTCGAAAGTTTTGTACATTGCGTAAAAAGTAGAATTTATTACTTTGTTATGATGACTTATTCAACTCACTTGCCTGCAGTAATTGGAACTCTGCGGGGTTACGTTCGAAAGTATGCCTGATAGTTGGAATTTAACAAGTTTTGGCAAAATTTAAAAAATTTAAGAAGAAAAATGGAATATCATCCCGGATTTCAGCAAAATAGCAGAGTCAGTTTAGAAAGGACAACTAGATGGTTATTGATTTAATTTGGAATTAATTAACGACCCAAGTAACCAACAAGCCCGTTAATCGAACTTTTTGCTATATAAGGCAACTATACGACTGATATAAAGTTCCCTATATTTACCTTATATCGCAAAAAGGGCGATTATCGGGCTTGGTGGTTACTTGGGTAGGTGTAACCAACTATCTTAACGGAATCCCTTTATAAAGAGCTTTGAGTGTGTTGGATGATTTCCTTTAAATTCCGTTATAATTGCTAATCTTTTGACAGATACGCGTATTTCGTCTACTATTTGCAGACTTCATCAGTGCCAAATACTCAACACCACATTATTTTGCCTACTAGATTACCCGCAATTTTGTGTTTACTTCGAATGACTCTTAATTTAAGCGACTGTCGTCTGCTTCAGCTCCCAGCAAATCGAATACATTTTTGACCGTACCGGTAGTGATTATTTAAAAAATGCCATTGAAATGCAAAAGCGAATTGAAATGTCATTTTCTACCGGCAGTGTGACGGAAAGCTCTCGATTATGTAGTGTAAATAGTCTTTATTGCCAGTTGAAATTTCATTTAGATGAAAGTCGATTTTAAACTGGTTTAATACAATTCAGCTACATTTAAGTTACGAATTATACCATATTTAAGAATAGCAGAAAACTGTAAGCTGCTTCTGCTTCTGTTCCTGTTTATGATGTTATTACGGATTTGAACGAGGGAACAGAGTATAAAGTGTATGTTGATGTAAAAGATTATAATAGTCCTGACATGATTGATGATTTATACTTGTCATACGCAAACTTATTTATAATTATTGAAATCTAAAAAAATAAATTTAATCTTCAATATCAATTGTCCCCACGCTTTTTATCGTGCAGCGCTCGTGTTTATTTACATTGTTCGATTGTAACCGTGTTTGACGGTTCGATTGGAACTTTTAATTTCAGTCTTTATGCGTCTCTTATAAAACATCGTCTCTGGGTGTTACCAGTGGGTATATGGATTTCCTGCCCTATGTTCAATCTTATTATTTTGAATACATAAAAGCGAGCAGTTCCACACCAAATGATGCATCGGAAAAATTGGACTTTCTCCGATTGCATAAAATAAAAAAAATAAATATGTAGCACGAAAATGTCACTTCTGATTGGATTGACGTTGCGTTGCGTTTGTAACGGAGTATTTCGTAGATTGCATGTCATGTTTCTACTTTAACGTTTTTATTCTGATTGCTTAGGAAAACTATTTTTTCCTTGATTTGTTTTCCGTCGATCTTGTTTTCCGAACTGAGCATCAATGCTACCGACGCCAGGGAGGCAGCTCCCACATCTTTACCCTACCTATCGACCCATCAACTTATGAACCGGGGACCAACGGCTGATCAGAGATTTTATGTCTCAGAAAAACCCGGCCTTTTGAAGTGAGAAGCAATCACGCTTACCACTACACCACCGGCACCGCTAAGGAAAACTATTTGGGAGTGAATAGTTCTCCAATCATAGTTCAGAAAATGAAAACCATGACAATTACCATTGCCGCCCATCTTCTCCGTTGCGGGAAAATACGGATTTTGTTGATGTAACATCTACTTAAAGGGAGGCCAGGGACTCACCAACGGAGTTGGATAGTTGGGTAGGGATGGGTCAGGATTCGCTTAACCAGGCAATGCGACCATGGTAAATGTTTTATTTTGGAAGAGCCTGGGAGTAAACCAATGGTCTTCTACTAAGTAAGCAAAAGCGGCAGCCACCAAGCCAGCCGAGGTTCTCAATTTAAATTCCAATCCTGTTTAAAATAAAATTAAATAAACAAAAAGGAAGCGTCCCACCCGAACGATACAATTTACTCCAGTCATGTGTGATACAAACACTTGATGGAATGTACACTTTGGGGGGCCACTTGGTAGTTCTGACGACTTCTCCAACGACAGTCGATAGCCGTGAAGATTAAATCTCACTCACGACGATTTATATCCTTCTGCAGAAAACCCAAAACTATTTCAAGAAGCTCCAAAACTAGCAGAGTGACAGTAACGAGCGAAAAACATGGCACACTTTGATCTTCACATTCCACAAACAATTTCAACTACAACCAGTGCTTGGATTTGCAAGAAGTAATCAACTCTGCACATTGTGCCGAAACACATCGTGGCACACTGATCGGCGGGTCATGGCACACGATGACAAATATGACACAAAATATAATATAAAATGGGCATCACTCTTTTGTGTCGATATTTTGCCAATCGTTGGTAAGGTTTACTTTTTCGTTTACTTCAAAGTAAGGGGATTTTTTTTTTGTCAGTGCCATTTTCCAGCAAAATTGTCCCTAATTATAATAAGAGATTGTATAATTGACGTAACGCTCTTTGTCTTTATGCCTTCTGGGGGATGAACCTCTACAGAAACTCCACACGGCTTTTGAGAGATGTTCATAGTTTCAGGGAAGTCCAAACGAACTAGTCAGAGTCACCACACCCCACAGAATATGCCAGAACTAACTAGAATTAAGCTTTAACTAGATGGTCATAGGATCCGGACCGAGAGTCAACTGTATGGGTAAGGAGCATTGCAGCGATAATGTACGGTGTCAACAACACCCCGGTGCCGAAAGATCCTACCATTCTTCAGATGTATCTGCAATCGCAGCTGTTTCTCCCGCAGAACACCCCGGTACGATTCGTGGTTCACCAATCAGTCAGCCGTACAGCTC